ACACCGCCCTCGGCTTCTAATGCCCCATTGGCCGATCACATGAAGGCCATCAGCCACCCGTATACTCTTTCTGCTCCCTCCTTGGTCTTTCCGAGTGACTATCCGCTTGTATTTCGAAGTTTGAACTCTGCGTCATTCACCGCCACTATCCTTTATTTATTACGTATTTCATTTTCAGTTACCATCAACCCGTGCTGTCCTGTTAATGCCGTACTGCTGCAATCGGTCGTACGTTACATTATATTTTGTTACAATGTTTCTGCACAGCACGAATCATGAACCCGTGATCGTCAACTACCCGTCTGCATTCTCACTGTCCATTGCTCATTGATGAAAGAGAAGCGTAACCAGAGATTTACCTCACCGATATCTGTTGACGAACATTACAATTTGACCGCGCTAGGTCGAGTAGCCCAATATAGAGCATAATTTTAAGGTGTATAGAATCCACTTGCGTTTATGAGTGCCACATTTCCCCTTCTCTTATTGACAGGAATTAAGCCTGGTCAGACAACCGCAGACAAGATGTTCACATTAAATGAAGTCGAGTGCCTTGGTGCATGCGTGAATGCCCCGATGATGCAAATCAATGATGATTACTACGTAAGCAGCCGTGCCCTCCGTGTATAAATTGATTTGGTTCGATCGTATGTCTGTTTCATTCGGTTGAAAGTGTTTTANCTTGTTCGGTTTAGATGCAGTGATGGGGAATACAACTCAACAATTAGGTGGGCCGGACTTTCACGCATTCGCCGTTGACTGAACAGCTCGGAAAAATGTATTTCGACCATATCACTCAAATATTCGCGGTCCGCGCTCCAGCAAGGATGTAAATGAGGCATTGCCAGAAAGTTTCAATAGAGGTTTATTGTACGAAAGATCGTGGTTTCGCTTCCTTGCTTACGCCTCCATTCAAGCAACATTTTTCAACATTGAGATCAACAGTATAGCCTACTTTCCGGCATTCAGCCCTCAGAAGTGCTGTCCACCTAACGAAACTGCAGCCAAACTCCGGCAAACTGCCCTACCTATGAGCCTAGCTAGGTTGATTTTGGAACCTCAAACACCGAGAGCATATCTGCAAAACACTGGTTTCCTGGAAATTTCTGATATTATGCACTTGGACTGCCCTCTTGTGCAAAGCAAAGGTTAATGACTTGCTATTATCGCCAAGTGTTTTCCTGCTACATGCTTTCTGCTCGTTCAGTGGTTTGGGAGAAATTTTACCGCTAGATAAACCCACGTAGCACATTAGAACATATAATTGATTCCAGTGCTAACGTGACGGTGTGTTTACGGATGCACACTCCTCCATCACTATGCTGTTATTTTTTGCTTCTCATGAGTTCGTTGAAACTGGTGTAGGAATAGTCCGATAATTTAGACCATTCCAGTGGTTGCATCAAATCAGTCCCACCAATAATTGGGGATTTTCCTGTCCATCCCCATCAAAAAATAAGAGCCATCTGATCGACCGGGACTAAGTTCCTCTACGAAAGGCTCTGGTACATTTACAGGGAATTCGATGTTCGCCCGTGAATGTGATGTGTAGTACCAAAGGCAAATGAAACACGGACCCCCCCCCCCTCTATGGCAACCTGCATGATGGTACCAATCGAGTTTCCAGTTATAGCCTCGTAAGTAGTATAGAATGTTGAAGGGATTTTTCGGAAGCCGTAAGGTTTAACTGGTTCTGCTTCACCGGAATCTGAAGAGCAACTAACTTAGACCCAAGTTTATTATCCATTTTCCATTCGGTTGCTAATAATAATGATAGTCTTTTACTTCTTTTTATTCAAACTTCCCATTGTAACCTTTGAGACAAGACGAAGTGACTAACAAGCTCGTTTTCGATAGCTTCATATTCTAGCTAATAATACCAATGTATCTATACATTAACATATATGTATGTAGGTAAGAAGTATAGCAGATTTACACGTAGCGTGTAGTCGTGTTGGAATGTTTCCAACCGAGTCATAGATAGATAGATAGAAACAACGCACTTTGAATTCAGAACCGAGTTCCATCAGTTCTAGCTTGCAATCCATACGCATCTCTGGTATGTTCACCAGACATGTTTCTTCATTTTATTACTCAGGAGGACCTCACAGTTGAAGATGTGACGCGAATTCTCGATGATCTCAAAGCCGGGAAAAAGCCTAAGGCCGGACCACAGTAAGTTCCCTCTTTGGCTTTACATGGCATTTTCCTCAGTAGATTGAATAAGGTAAGGTAGGTGAGCAGGAATGTGTGAAGTTAGCTGAATTCTGGCAATGCCCAAGAGGATCAAGTTTCTACTGTATAATGGAAAGCAGCGCCGTTACGGTTCAAGGATAGACGCGAACTATTGGTATTCGAACACCGCTACTTACCGTGTTTGCTAATGACATAATCGGGCAAACGGTGATGAGATTGTAGAGGAAATTATTAAACAAGAGCATGCGTTCGGCCTCTGTGGATTACCGTAGCTGAATTATGTTGAACGCGTGAAGTATTTGCCTTATGCACCACGAACGGTGGACGGTCAGCAAACACAGTTAACCAACAATGATCAGGCTAATTGTGGTTTCAGTTTCAGTTTGAACAACCATTAACCACGCATATTCGTGCGCCGGTTTTGATTGCTGTTTTTTGGCTGCCCATTTGGATGAATAATCAGAAAAGAACAGGAAAGTTGAAGTTAGAGTCGAAAAGGTAATTGAGAACTCCAGTAAACTATGGCTGCAAAGAAATTGAGATGCAAAAACGCCACTGTGGTAAGCCAGGAGAAGACAAAACAATGTACGACATGAGTTCAATTCCGAAGTGATGCGTTCTGAGTTAACAAGAAATCGAGGTTCGCATTCGTTAGAAGTCCAGCAGTGGTTGGACTATACTAACACTTGTTCTTTCTTCATCTGTATGCCACTGTAATAGTCCGAAGACGCACCGTAGTGCAGTGTCTGTAGAAAATCAACACTTGGACCATCGACTGCTTGCTTAATCTGCCATGTCCAGCGGAAATCAAATAGTGATTGTCTTGCATTCAGTTATGGGGTTGATGAGCACCGCATTCGTTTCGACTATCCATCAAATCCGTCCTGGTACTGAATGGCAATCACGTCTACACTTACAACCATGAAGAACTCAAAGGGGTTTCTTGATTGTGATTGATATTGATTTGATCGAGTTTTGTAGGCGAAGCATTAATAAGACCAGTATCCACTCCATCTCATTGTCTAAAAATCCTACGATTTTCTTTTTTATCATCTCTGACTCGTTTGTAGAAGCGGACAAGGCCACCGTTTTGCATCGGAACCGAAACAAGGTTTGACCTCCCTGACCACCGAACCTCCCGGTCCCGGATTTAAGGTTCGGGCGGATCTGTGAATGGCTTTGCACAGACCCCAGAAATATATCACAATTGCATGTGTAGTATAAACAGTGGAGCAGATGTGTCGTCTGTGTTCCCAATATAGTGATCCGTTTGGTACAGAATTTCGATGAATATAATATTATTTCTGAGAAATCTTGATTATCTCCCCTTTTTGGTTAACGACAATTCGAGCGCGCGCATGCGTACAAATAACTAGGTGTGTATTATTTGTACATGTGAGTAAAACTCTGGTAAAAAAATAATGCGATCTTCAAAATTGTGGGTAAAAAAATAGGTGTTGTGGTCGAGGTGGGTTCGAAATAGATGAAATCGCGTCACCAAAAGAAAGAGCGTTGAAGGAAATTTGATAACCATTCTATGGCTCCGTTCGATCCATCTTGTTGATCCCAACACACATTGGTCTGTAGCTTCGGTGCAGCACGTGTTTCGTCCACTTCGAACAGATCAGCATCCGCATCGAGGTAGGCCGGCATTTCATTGGGGCACACAAGATCTGGTCGGCGAATGTGGAGTCGGCTCCGTGATCGACGCAGGGACCCATTGCGTATTCTGAAGAGAAAAAAATAATCCACAAACCGTGAGTGTATAACTTACAAAGCCTGTCAACTTTCAGTAGAGTCCACCTCTTTTCTCACTCGATAGTATTTCACGAGAAGCTGAAGTGAATCCAAAGTCACTAAGATCTAACCCAGACCTAGAGACATGGAGCTTAAAGTCACATATGTTCAGTTTGGGTCTTACTAATATGAACCACACACCTTTGTGCGGTGGTTTCGGTTCACCAGTTGGATGCAGTGGTACAGGGAAGATTGGATGAGAGCGTACACTTTCCTTTGCAATAATTAAACTATTGGCGAGTCCAGCCCTAGGCAACTTCAGAAATCGATATAATATGAATAAAAATATATAAAGTTGTAGTTCAAAAAAACATCGGTAATGTACGCCAGCAAATAGCGCTGATTTCAGCTGGCTAACACTGGGGTGGATTGCATTTCACTTGGTAGAAACCGTACGGTCGTTTGATAGACACTCGCCATCACCTGTGGAGTTCCATCTTACCCCAGGAGAGCTTAGCATGCTAGGAGCAGCCCAGGAGGCATTAAGCGCTCATCTATTGAAACCTAAAATGCACGTCACACAGTAACTGGTTCAAGTATTCCGGGTTATGGCAAGTCAATGAGGACGACGTATCGCTGCGTCCGTTTGTCAGATCAGTTTGAACAACCACCAAGCATGCTCTTCCGTGTGTCGCTTTTGGCTGCCCATCTGGAACAAAATCTTCAGCACTATCGGAAGCACAATACAGGGAAGCGAATTTCACTGATCGCTGCCAAACGCGCAACGCAT